ATATGTGCTCTGCAGTCTGTTGTTGCTGTTAGACTATATGTGCTCTGCAGTCCGTTGTTGGTGTTAGGCTATATGTGCTCTGCAGTCCGTTGTTGTTGTTAGGCTATATGTGCTCTGCAGTCTGTTGGTGTTGGGATATATGTGCTCTGCAGGCTGTTGGTGGTGTTAGGCTATATGTGCTCTGCAGTCCGTTGTTGCTGTTAGGCTATATGTGCTCTGCAGGCCATTGTTGGTGTTAGGCTATATGTGCTCTGCAGTCCGTTGTTGCTGTTAAGCTATATGTGCTCTGCAGGCTGTTGTTGGTGTTAGACTATATGTGCTCTGCAGGCCGTTGTTGGTGTTAGGATATATGTGCTCTGCAGTCCGTTGTTGGTGTTAGGATATATGTGCTCTGCAGGCTGTTGTTGCTGTTAGGCTATATGTGCTCTGCAGGCTGTTGGTGGTGTTAGGCTATATGTGCTCTGCAGTCCGTTGTTGGTGTTAGGCTATATGTGCTCTGCAGGCTGTTGTTGGTGTTAGGCTATATGTGCTCTGCAGGCTGTTGTTGGTGTTAGGATATATGTGCTCTGCAGGCTGTTGCTGTTGTTAGGTGCCAGCAAATTAGTTTTCATGCCATAGTTGGTTCTTTCCAAATGAACTGGGTTGGGGAAACAAAACAAAACATTGTTGATGCTAAGGAATTTTAAAGAGCTGGCTTTCATGAACTATTATTCACCCTAAACTGGTCCTGAAATATAAATACTGTGTGATATCTTTTATAAATGGCATGTAAATATTTTATGCTCCATTCTTTATCAAGCTGACATTTTTTAATCTCTCTCAGATCATCCATTTACTGGAGATGTCATCTTCCCAAGGGAAATCAGTTTCACCAACCTACAACCAAATCATACTGCTGTGTTCCAGTGTGAAGCCTCAAATGTCCATGGCACCATCCTCGCCAATGCCAACATTGATGTTGTAGGTAAGCAAGCAGGCCGACAGGCTGTTAACCTACTACTCCAAAAAGAAATGGTCAAGGTCAGATGCACAAGTACAGATTGAATTCTTGATACATTGCATGGGGTGGAGGAGAACATCACAGTACCTTTTACTACATATTTGAGTATCAGGCTTCACACTAAAATTGTATCTCAAAAAAGGAGTCAAATATAAATGTTTTTCTAATCTAGGTAAGTGTTCTGTAACCTTAAGCTGCATTTTATTCTATGACACTAATATGGATAGGATGTAGAAAAATCCTGCTTGAAGACATTACTTCTTACAGGAAGTTTAAAACTCTATGTTCTTTTCAAATAGATGTACGGCCCTTGATACAAACTGAGGATGAAGAAAGTTACGCAGCTGTGGTTGGGTACAGTGCCTTCTTACATTGTGACTTCTTTGCATCACCCGAGGCCCTAGTGTCCTGGTAAGCGGGGACACACTTTTCTCCAGAGAATGCCAGGTGTAGAATCCACCTGTCGCTTCATCTGTCATTTCTCAGGTTGCCTTGGGTTCTTGCTGTTACATGGATTCAATGCGTCTGAGAAGTAAGATCGTAAACTCCATGACCTTGCTCTCCAGGAAGCATTGGCTCATTTTCTACATTTATCTCCTGTGGAGAAATATGGCGAGTTATTTCTGCCTTCACAGGGGAGAAAGATACTGAAAGGATGACTAAGACAACTTAAAATATGGATGCCTTTATTTATTTGTTCATTTTGAATGATGTTTAAAATCATACATCGTTTTATTATTGTTGTTTGGGGATTATCTAAATGATTATCAAAAATGTTATTTCAAATATATCTTCTTAAAAGTTTTCAACATACATTTTGATTGCAATTGTTTTAATCTTTTCCAACATCCATTTTAAAAAATTAAATGGAAGATGTCTCTTCTGATTCATTACATATATATATATATATATATATATATGGCATTATTTGCATATAATTCATACATCATACAATTTAAGAGTTCAACCATCTTAAAAGTTGTACAGTCATCACCATAATCAAGTATAGAACATTCATTTTAATTTGAATTTCTAATATATTGATTGCTGTAATAACTTCAAATCCATGACCATATGAATCAGCCATTGGATATTTCCCCGGTAAAGCTCAGTTAAATTTAGTGCATTTGGTAAATTGTTCAAGTACTTAGGGTGAAGAGAGGTTACTTGAATCATACCAGAGTAGAATTGTATCTTGTCTTTTTAAAAATTGTTGTGTTTTGTTTATTGTATTTGGGGGCATTAGTTTTGATTTTTTAAATCACTGTATTGCTATTTTAAATAATCATTATTATGGGAAATATTGTATATAAAATATTACTTATCTTCATGTCTGCAATTTTTTTACACCCCTTCAAATTTTGCATCTGCGATAAGTGCCCCACTTGCCTCATTCAAATCCTGGCTCTGGGAAGTGCGGTGTGAGCAGTAGCCTTCAATTGCCCATTGCGTTTTTCAGCTCCAGCAAGTCACTTATGTGAGATTTATAGTATAAACCAAGCTGTGGCAGCAAATGCTCCAAAAATGAATGAATGTAGGGGAAAATGACTGTGCAGTTGACAGGGGTAAATGTAATCCATGTTCACAGGACATGTAAGACTTCCTGGTCTATAATATTTCTGAATGACCAATATTCTTTCCAGAGAGCAGGAGGCTCAGAGGATTCATCATCTCTTTCAATTACCAGCTTTCCCAGTTAGTACCCTGAAGCAGTCATTAACTAAAGAGCATGCCACCAATAAGCCCAGAAGTATTTATTAAGCTCGGGGGACAAATGCAAAATGCTGTTCACCTCTATCAGAAATGGTAGCCTAGTGCCCAGAAAGATGGACAAGCTACTGAACCTCAGAATCAAAAAGAGTATGGGCTCAGATTTCCTACAGCCACAGTATTAGTGGGAAGCTAACTGTAGCGAGATTTGAGAGAAATACACCCCCGTGTGGATCCTTTCATAAGTTTCAGTTAAGCATCTGAAGGGAAAGGTTTTAGCTTGAGTGCTAGTAGCAGTCAGTTTCACTAAGAGTCTACAATTATATTGCTTTCCATATTGATCTGTACTTTCTACATCCACAGGCAGAAAGTGGATGAAGCAAAACCACTTGAAGGCAGTCGGTACTATGTCCATGAAAATGGCACATTGCAGATCAACAAAACCACAGAAGAGGATGCTGGGTCATACTCCTGTTGGGTAGAAAATGCTAAAGGAAAAACTGCCGTCACCGCCAATTTGGATATTAGAAGTAATTTTCTTTGCTTCGCATAAATGATATTGTAACTCGTTTCCATGGCCTTTCTCTCTCTCTCTCTTGCATTGTTTTTCTTTCCCTTCCTTCCTGTCTAATTCTAGCTATGTATTTTTCAGCAGTTGACTCTTTTTGTACACGTAACAAGCCACATGGTCAACCTTCATAGCCTCAGTTTCGGAAGCGCCTAACTCTTCGCCTCAATGTCTCTCTGCTGCCGGTGTCTCTGAATTTTCAAGGGTCCTGGATGAATTTCACAGTGCCCTCATAACCCCACAAAAGATGGTTATTTTAAACTACAAGTTACTAAAAACAAGCAAATGAGCAAAACAGACATAAACCCTCGTAATCAAAGTCAAACAACTCAACCAGGGTCAAAATTGCCACAATCAGAAGCTCAAAGTCTGGCCCACAGTGGGATTTAAAATCGTGAAGTGGTAATCTAGTGCCCAGAAAGATGGACACGCTAATGACCCTCAGTGTGCCCTTCCAGCCAGTGTGAATACAGGCAGTGTATGAGAATTGCATCAGTGAAGGATCAGGGACATTGTATTGTCAAGAATGGAGTTGTGTAAAAGTCTGTAGTGATGCACAATGTGACCTTTACTCAGTGCCAGGCTGAGATCAAATTCTGATTCATCTTCTTATTCATTAAGAAACACGGGCTCATTGGCTTCAATTTTAGCCTTAGTCACCTTATTGGGAACAGTTGTTAGAAAATGCCACAATGAACATGAACTTCTTAGAGTCCTGATACATAATGTACTAAAAATAAAAACCATTGCCATCAGATTAATTCTAACTCATAGAATTCCTCTACAGACATTCTGAGACTGTAAGTATTTATGGGAGCAGACAGTTCACCTTTCTTCCATGGACTAGCTAATGAGATTGGAGCTCCATGACTAAGCCACAGTAGTCCCAGGGATCTTTTGCCCAGGAAGTATTGAGGAAATTGCTCAACTAAAATAGACAATCCCTGATTTCTGATACATTTTTGAAGCTATAAAGGGCACTTATGACTGTCTTTTTGTGGGGTATTTTTGCACATCTTATTGTTAGTAATACATACTATATGTAATGTTACAGTGTATTATTCACTAATGTCAACATATCTGGAAGTTTTTTGTAATGTTTCTAAACCCTAAAGAAAAATAAAGATCACATAATAAAAGGCAATTATAATGAAAACTTTAACAAAATAAAATAGTTGTTTGACTTAAGTCAGAACATATTTAACAGAACTCTGTAAGTTGGAGACTGCCTGTAATTAATCCTTCCACCCAGAATTTGTCACTTGCCCATCCTTGAATGGGTAGCAAATAGTATCGATATGTGATGTTAGAAAATTACAGTGGGACAAACATTGCATGAGGATTTGATGATTATGTTACTGGTTGAGGTCGATTAAAATTACAGTCACTTGATAGCGAAGAAAGCTGTGCTCTGTCATTCTAACTAGTGTCTTTGTTTGATAAAAACAGATGCTACACAACTTCATGTTTCTCCTAAGAATGTCCGTGTCCCCACATCACTTACACTTGAGTTACATTGTGCGAACAAATGTGACTCACATTTGAAACACAGTTTGAAGTTGAGCTGGAGCAAAGATGGAGATGTCTTTGGAACCAATGGCACAGAAGATGGCAGGTAATGTTCACACAAGTTCTAAGTATGTTCTCTTCAGTTGAAACACATACATATTTGACAGATGTATTTCAGTTCTCAAGACAGCATTTACAAGGTCATGAAGAGTCTAGGCTTGTTTCACTTTTCTGTCAAATACTGATCTGATCTTGTTATGCCTATTAACCTTTCATGTCATGTGTATTGTTAAGAGGCCTGGTAGTGCAATAGTTAAATACGTATATGCCAACTGAAAGGATGATGGTTCAAACCCACCAGCTACAAAGACCTGACAATTTGCCCTTGTAATGATTTCAGCCTAGTAGACCCTGTGGAATAGTTTTACTTGATCCTGTAGGATCCTTACAGAAATGGGCTCAACAGCATACAACAACAAAAACATATGCCTATTCATACATGGAATAGAAGCCATTGTTCATTAGGCCAGGTTGTCTAGAGAATCAAATCCAGTGACACTTGTATATGTGTAAGATAGAGCTTTATATCAACAAGTAATCTCATATCAAAAGAAGGCATCATGGGCCAGTCCAACTCAAATCCACAAGTGCAAATGCAAGCAGGGTTGGTTTAGACTTGCATAGCTGCAGGCTGATTATGCATAAAAGTGAAGCAGGGGGCTGACAGTTCTCAGGGTCTGGTGGCCCACATGGCCAGCAGGCAGGTGGAGGGGCAGAGCAAGAGACAGTTCTCAGAGTACTTCATTTGTGTACAAAAAGCTACCTACCCCCAAGGAGTTAATATCAAGCTACCACTTGATTGACAGGCTTGACTCCACCCCTAGACATGGGTGTCTATTGGACACAAAATCATCCAACTACCATACATGCAGGCATTTGAGGCACAAAAGGACTTATTGCATGGGCTTGGGGGTTACCTAACCAATCGCAGGGTAAAGAAGCTAGACGAAGAGAGATTTGCTTACTACACTTTTACTGTAAGGATCACCAGGTTCTGGGAACTGCAGCTATTTCTGTTGCTGCTCCCACAGCCACTCTTAAGGTGCTCCTGGTGAGTCTAGCTATGGCCATTTCTCATATCTGCCAGAGTCACTGGTCATTTTACTTCCTCAGAGAAAAAGAAGTTCATTTTCCTTTTTTTGCCAAATTTCACAGGCGTGCATCTCTTTAGCAGAATCTAAATCCTACCCAAATTATTGATGACAAGTAAGAATTCAAACAAATTTTTAAATTTTCTACTTATTGTCACATGAAGAGAATATCCAAGAAAGTGTGAATAGAGTAGCATTAGACAATAGTAAACATATCAGAGAAAGAGAAAACAACATTCACTATTTACTATGCCTTTTCGAAAGATGCCCACTCCCTGCCCTCTTCACTTTTTACCAAACAGATTTTAAAAACTGAAAATCTTTGAGCAAAAATTTTCCTGCTACTCATCATTATGACTAAATGAAATTTGAAGGCCCGATGGTTGGATGTATTCCCCTTAGACAGAGGGCAGCAGGGTGTCCCCGCCATTCACACTGTACTTGAAGGCCTGGGTTTGAGTCCTCGCTTGTTGCTTTAAAGATCCGTGATCATAGAGGAGTTACTTAATCTCTCTGCCTTCCTTTTACCTTTTATAAAATTGTTTTGTTTTAAATTAAAAATTTACTTTTGCCATAAGAATCCTGGTGGCATAGGGGCTACACATCAGGCTACTAATTGCAAGGTCAGTAATTCAAACACACCAGCTACTCCGCATGAGGAAGATGAAACTTTCCACCGTAACGATTTAGAGTCTGGGAACCCCCGGGGGCTTTTCTACGGTGTCCTCATAGGTCACTGTGAGTTGGAATTGAGTTGATGTTAATGAGTTTGAGTTTTGAGTTTGGCCTTTACCCTAGGAACACATTGTGACTTAGTATACAAAGCACCAGAAATCCTAATTACTCAGTGTATTTTACCTATTACGATTTTAACCTTTCTTTTCTCCAGTCTGTTTGGCCCTGTCTCTGTGTATAACCCATATACAAAGCATTGGTCTCAGCCTTGGTAATTAAATTCTTCCTCTCCCTTCTATGCGCATACAACGCTTTGGAAAGACAGAAAATATGTTACAACCAGTTGTCACTGAAACAAGAAAATATTGATTAGGTGTGCCTGAAAGTACATATTCTCATAGAAAATACCCTGTCTTCCACCTTTGGGGAGATCTCAGCTGATCTGTCAGTCTCTCCAGCCCTCCCAGTCTTCTCACTATCGCCTAGCTCCCTGGGGCTGTCACTGTAAACTTGGAGCGCAGCCAAGAAGATAACCATAGACTCTCTCCTATTGGTGATGTGACAGACATAGTTTTGACCCTGGTCTCAGAAACTCTAACCTCCTTCTTTGTATGACCCAGTGTACCGTTTCTGCCGGATGTGGGTCTGACACTCAAATGAGCCTCTGGCCAACTGAGTGGACAAAACACATGTTGCAGATGTTCTCCCAATTTACCCTAAGGTGTGGGCAAGGGCAGTACCCTTAGCTCAGGAGAGACCTCAGGAGAGGGGTCCTACTTAGCCACTAGATCCCAGCAACGTGCATGAAGACAGAACAGGGGGGAGATATTGCAGATATATGCTGCATCTTCAGAGAGCCAACAATAAGCTCCTGCTCCTCGCTTTCTCCTGGCCGGGG